CGCACGAAGTAAATAAATCGGAGGCGACGAGACTCGGGCAAGGTTCGCGCGGCAGTGCACCATTCGTCACTTCGTCAGCTAACGCTCGCAAAGAAAAAGAAAACAGCGAGCGATAAGCGGGAATCCGCGGCGCTCGCAAGCTGAATGCACGGTTAATTAATCGATAAGCCTGGCAGGTTGCGCACGATGCGCGCTCGTAACCTCGGCTCGTTTCGGAGAGCTTTGAGGGGCACGTATCAATATGTAGCACGTAGCACGTCCATTAATAACGGACCCGTAACGCGCCAGACTTTTCCGCTGCTCGCGCTCGCTCGAATTCGCGGAATGCCGACGGTTTCGGGATCGAGTTCGCCGGCTGCTATTCTCCTGGATGGTGGGCTGCGCGGCGGCGAGCGTTTTATCCGAGACAACAACGCAAATCGATGCTCGCTGAAAGTTCTGGCGGTAGGCCAATATCGAATGATCGCCCGCGGCGCTTTAACGATACGTTCCGCGCGCGTGGCGGCGCACTTTCGACAATTATCCTTTCGTATGGAAAATCGCTCGATCGCGTGCGCGCGCGTGTATCCCCGCAACACTGGTCATCCGCGCGATCGTTATATGCAAACGAGTTACGCATCGTATGTTGCTCGACGTGATACTCGACAATTCCCACGGAATAATTCTCATTAATTATTCCAATTGAGGAGCCAAAAGCTTTATGTAAAGAACGCAATGGGCTTTCGCGCGAAACGACGTGCGCGTAATGTGGGTCATCCGAGAAGTAAAACAGCAAAACCAGTGTTGCCCCGCGTTTCAACTAATCAATCCCGATGTCAATTGGAACGCCGAACCTCGCCCGCGATCGTATATTGTACGTAGCCGCTAGACCGCTGACGGAAAAAGAGGGAAAGGGGGCCGCGTAGTTTAAAGGCCGGACAGAGGCGTCGAGGCGACAACAAAAGGCGCGGCTCTCTCCCTCCGCGTTCGGTTACGCAGTTCCTGCTAGTGCTGCAGGAAGCGAGATCGATGAATCAGCGCGACGACGAGGACGACGACAAAGCTCCGGCTCGTCAGCTTCGAGGGAGAGCCTGCGCCGCGAGTGTTTGATCACGGGACACGTTACAAATCCACTTAACTGGCAGTGGCAAAAGCATCGACATGTGTCGGCTGACTGCTGGCGTGTGCTCGCGCCGCTCGCGGGCTCGAAATAGAAATTAAACGGATCGCCGTTAATGCATCGCGCGTCCGAAGCCTCTGGGCGTTTTCTAGAGCTAAAGCTGCCGCAGCCGGCAGCCGATCGGCCACTCAATAGCATAACCCAGTTGTGCCTTCGTTCCGAGATCATATTATTATTACACAAAACGTACAATGTTCCATTGTCTCTGCCGCTCTTTGCACGCGCGTTTATGTTGGACATTGAGTGTCACGCTGTGTCTAAAGAACAAGTATATTCTCGTCGTTGCCGTGGCTTCATGTTATGTGTGTGTGTGTGTGCGCGCGCGCGCGCGCGCGAGCGCGAAGGGAGGGTAGGAGGTGCATTATGTGCGCTGCGTGCGAATTATCGGAAAAGGCTGTGGCTTGAGGCTTTCGATTCTGCGAGCTGCTACACACGGCGAGAGCACGGACGCGCCGAGAGGCTTGTTTGACGAACGGCTAAAGATACCTTCGCTGCTTGCTGCCGATGCTTTTCACTCGTCATGCGGATTTTTCTAGCGTGGATCACACGGTCATACATATCGTATCTCGTGCTCGCTCGTGCATGCAGTTGTATGCGCGAGCTTTGCTGATTTGTAAATCGTATCTTTTCGTTTGTCAGACTTTGTGTTTATTATTTTTCAATCATATAGCGTCAGATTTACGACTAATTATTTTCGAAGATTTTGAAGCGCGATCGACCATTGTAAAAAGTAATTTGTATTTTATAATTCAATTACTTTTTTCGCGCGAGCTTTCGATATTGAAACCATGTACATGGAATAAAAGACAAATGATATCGTGTATCTCCTGCAGTTGGAAGTTTTTTTTTTCAAAAACATAGTATTCGTATTTATTCGTTTTCAAAAAAACTTTTTAGGTTTTGATATATATTCCCTAGAGACCCCACGACCCACGAAAGTGTGTCAACGTCCATCAAAATTCGCGAAAATTCATCAACACAAAAATTGCGAATGACATAATTTTGCGAACTGGCAGAATATGGAAGCAACATTTCTGTAAATAGTACAATTTTTGAAAACCAGTCCATCGTATTTTCTCAAGACATTCGATCTAAATCATTAACAAAATAACAGTCTATAATCGTCTCAAACCTAGAGTACACCTACCTCATCTCTGCGAGGACATTTTTTCAATAGCTCGTGGTACGCTACTAAAACAAAGATCGAGCGGCGCATAAAACGTAAAATATTATTCTCGGATAATTTAATTTCATAAGAAAGCGCACCCGGGAAAAGTTCACCAGCAGCGACAGCAGCTCATCCAAACAGTAATCAAGCTTCAAAGGTAAAGTGCGAACTACGATGTCTCTCAATTCTTACTTTGTCGCCCCTTATTTCGGGCTTTATACATTTTACAACAAAGCTCTTGGACACTGAGAGCGTGACAAAATCAGTATGGCTCGTTTTTAATGTCCTACAAGCCTCGAAGCAGTTATTAAATAAGCAGCATATAATTATCTACGGACAAGCGAGAATATTTTTTGAAGGTATCTTTTTCCTCACCAACAATTCTCTCTTTTCACACACACACACACACACACACACACACACACACACACACACACACACACACACACACAAATTAATTACTCTAGAGTATACATGGACGAGAGATCAGTTTTATATCTTTTGGGCAGGTCGAAACACGACGAGCTCCTGTTGTTTCTCATTTCGCGGTATCCCTGAGAGCTTACCAACAGCATTGAGCGACACAATAGATGCATTACCATCTTCATTCTAAATTTCGAAACCACTCTTAACTCTAGTCGACGTGTAGGTATTCAATGATTCGCTCGCGGCGCGATACTCAATGCTGTGCACTTTTTTCTCGCCCCGACCGCAAAAATTCCACGGGATAAATGTATGTAGGATAAAAGGAGAAAAAGCTTAGGTTATTCATGGACAGACGGTGTATATAAGCTCAGGCGTCGGACAAACAATTGTACTTTGGCGCTGCCGCACAAAGACATAAAAACTCCAGAGCGCTTAATGGGGTTGTAAATGTTTACCTACTATTTCTTTCCCACTGCTGTCGACTGTTTCTTTTTTTTTTCTAATCAACATTCAAACGTTCGGCTTGGCGCTTAATTAAAACTACAAACTTTTCGCGTGCTTAAAAGGAAGAAGCGCGTTATCGACGAACGGTCGAATTTCGCTCGGAAGTACGATGCCCTCCTTTTTTTCTCGAGCGACCTTTTCCTGCGCTTATTTATTTACTTATTTTTTTTTCAATATAAAGCGAGTTCCTGCCAATGACATCGTGACGCTTGAAGTAGCGCGAACGTTCTCCCGCGCCAGACTATAGCCGAATTGGCAAATACACTACGAGTATTCCGCGGTTAGAACAATCGGAACGCCGTTGCGGCGCGAAAATCGAATCGGCAAATAACAATTCCGCTCGCTCGAGCGTCGCGCGAGCGTTCAGTTTGATTAACCAGGTACGCGTCATCCCACTCGTCGACGATGGAAGAGCAGCCGATATCAATACTTTTTACCCTCTTGACTAACAAACCGCAGAGGTACCGTGCACGCAGCGCCTGCTTCACTTTAACGAGGTGTCGCGCCAACGAACAAATCGCGAGCGCGCGCGCTTAAAAAACACGATGACAATAAAAGAAAAAATCCCGCGTTGCGCGAGCACGCGCAAAACGCGAAAGACAAAGGTACTTATATATGGAGCGTTCTGCGCCTCTTGTACTGTTCTCATCTCTCTCTCTCTCTCTCTTTCTCTGCCGCTCGTTCTATTTCTCGTTGCATTATGCTCGTTATCGCTCCGCCTAAAGCGGAAAAACGATTGAACGTCAATACCCACACGCGCGCGCGCGCGATACCGAAGCGATACTGCAAAAGTTGCCGCGAGAGCATTTCAAAGCTCGTCCCAGGCAACGCTAATTGAAAAGCCGCCTCGGTTACGTGTTATGCAAACGTAGTCCCGACTTATCGTCACTTTATTAGCCCGGTGTTGCCGCTGCGTTCTTACTTGCTAGTCGGGTTTCTGTTGGCGCGGCCGGAACATAAAGAATCCGCAGCCGCGCCAGTCAAAAGGAAGATTCACCTCGTGGCAAATTTAATGATACGCTATTCCCCCGCTCGCCTTGTTCGCCGCGTGTTTGTCGGTAACGGCTCGAGTTCCAATTTTTCATGGACCCCCCGAGAGAGCGAAAGCTCGCTTCCAAGCCAGGATAAACTTGCGTTTCAATGCTTTTTCTTCTTTTCATTCTGCACTGTGGCGTCCAATTACTTTTTATACGGGACTTTTTATGTCTTTTTTTGCTCATTTTACACAGTTTCTAATTTTATCGCAAACATGTTAATTGCTAACGGTCAGATTTCCAGTTGCGATTGTATCAACGAGATAGATTTTAATTAACACATTAATAATTCTCGATAATGCAAATGATGAAGTCCGAAATGCGAGTGAATAAATGGCTCGTTTAATTCTCCACTTTTTCCCTCGCAATGCATGAACATTGATATATTGGAATATTCGTCAAAAGTAATATCGCGCATATGCTTTTGCCGTCGACAAATAATTATAAAGTAAAATTAATCATATGCTCTCGCTGGCGACCGCCTCTTCGAAAAATTCAACACGGCGAACTATAATCTATGTATAATATTCATTCTTGGGCCATTCTATTTGAATAATCTGTCATAACGCAATATATTCCTGGCCGTATCATCGCAGCTAATTGAATAATTCACTTATCGCTCGAACCATATGAAAATAACCATATTACAAGTAGTATACGAACCTCAGCAGTCTCAGAAGTTATACAAAACAATCACGCGTTTTTACAGAGCTTGAAATGTCAACATTGGGAATAACAACAATAACAATAACGACGAGGCGGAAGCAGGAGGAGCATCAGCAGCAGCAGCAGTCGCGACGTCGTCAGTGTTACAATTAATGGATGAGGTCCGGGTACAGGCTGGATGGCAGGCGCGCGCGACATGCATTATCACCATGTATCTTGGGAAGCCAGCTACTACTGCTACTACAACTACTACGACAACGCCGGCAGCACACTCATCCGAATGAACGTGCCCGGCCGGACTTTAACATGCCAAGCTTCAGCAGCAACGACGGAGCCCCGACCTTACTGAGTACGTTTGTACATTCCTATTTATCACTTTTATTTCTTTACGAGTACGCTATTGCGCTCGGATTTTATCGGAATGCTTATTCTTTTTTTTTCTTCGCGAGAGATATTAAAATCCGAACATTCAGTATACGGCTTCTTGTCACCAATACATATAACGCCAATTTGCACCAGTACGCAATACCTGAGTACTTCACATAGCGTTACTAAAACGCACGCGAAACCGTATCGTAATTGTATCCAACGCAAAGCGCGGGCCACGCAAGAATTTAAACAAGTAGTAACGGTCTAGTTTGGTCAGCCGCAGCATACTCGAAAACTTTACTCGCGCGCGCGGCCTACTTGCGCGCGAAACTTTTATACCCTACGTTCCGCGAATGCTTTGGAAAGTACTAACGTCACCTGCAGTACTCGTATTGTTCGCCCTTGTGCAAATAACAAAAAAAAATATATATATGAAATTAGAAAGAAGAGAGGTATGGAGAAAAAAATGTTCTTTTTCCTCGTTAGAAAGCAAAACAAAAATGTGCAGAACTGATTACGGCTGCGCGCGCGTCGAAAGAGTGATCGGATCAAATCGCATTAAAAATTGTCGAATAAACAAAAGGCATTACCGAGCCAGCGTGGATCAAGTCCCGAATCGGAAAATGCTTCGTTTCTCTCGGCCATACTTTTAACGTATTTCCTTTCCCCGCCACACAGGGACGCGATCCACTAACTCCCCATCCACTTGTCGTTTTCTCCGTCTTTCCTCTCTTCCGTCGTCGTCGGGATTTTTTTTCGATGGCTCAAGGACCCGTCGCCGTGTCGTGACGCCGCTTCGAGTAAAAATAAACGATTTATATGAAGGACGTTGCCACGTCAGTGTCACTCTTTTTCTGTATCGCGTGCTCCTCCGCCCCCCCCCTCTTTTCACTCTTTTTTTATTTTGATTTTTGTTTTTGAAATGAAAGAAACGCTCAAATCAATTTTCGTTACACGTTGCGATAATCAAGCTGTCCTATCAGGTGACATATCCGTTATTTTGTAAAGACTATTACAATATGTGGTGTGTAATTTCTCGTGAGATACATTTTTGTTTTGAGAGAAAGAAACAGAATTTCCCGCTCTCCGCATTCGTAAAATTAGTTTGCGCGAAGTTTGAATGAATTGCTTTCGTATATAATTGCAAGGATGGTCTATTCAGTTGGTTAGTTATTTAGACGAGAGCGTTTCACGTCAGCTTCGGTAGAGTTTGAAAAAAAAAAATCTAGCAGCGAAAAGCCCTTCAGTTATGTGATAAAATATTTTTTCGACGCTCCATGCGCGGTAACGTAACTTCGCGCAGGCTCGAGAAATCGAGCATGCTTAAAATCTCGTTCCACGCACGTCGTATCGAAAAATCAAGTTAGATACGTGTGTGAGAAAGCCGTTTCAGCTCGATGTGGCCTCTTTACCTTCGCTTTGCTCGGGCGAAAACGTCCACACGAGGCTGAAATTACTTCCTCGCGCTCCAGTATCGAAGCATACTATTTCCGAGCTATCCGCGTGAATTTTATTATACACAAAAATCGGAGTAGTGAAAATATCCCAAAGCTTGACGAACAGCTTGATCTGCCTGACATTTCCACCGAACGAATGATAATCTCTAACCATTTGTTTCTCCGCCGGCCCTTGACAATGGCAACCATGTATAAATGTTTATAGTAAATTTGTCGATTAGGTCGTACGAGCACGGAATAGCCGAAGATAAGTTATTAAAAAGTCACTGAAAATGATAAATTGCTGTGCAACATCATGAAGCGTAAATTCTTTGAGACTGGTACATCTTCGCTCTGCAGCTGGCACACCATCCGTAACGTTGTCTTGTCATAAGCAAACGGTGTAGACCGGTTGTTGTTTTCTTACGGACTGGCTGCTAAGCATGCATCTCGAGCGCATCGTGAGTTGGTGCTTGCGGTTACGGTACGTAGTCAGGAAGGCTCGGTTGACTCCAATAGTCGTAAGCTACTCAGAAAGAACAGTCAGGGGTGGGGAAGGGGAGGAGTAGAGCCATGTGGAACTGAAATAAATGTGAATCAGGGAGCTTGATAAATATCGTAGCCTTAAGCAGGTGGAATCCGCCGGAATAATCCGTAAACGATGTCACGTAATTGTTTTATTTCTGGCTAACTCCACTTGATCAACAACAACTGAAAATGCCGTGCGTGCTCTCACAGAAAAAGACGAGGAAGACGAGGAAGCGACGGAAGAAGAATCGATGCTGGCGGCGTTTGGGGCGGTAGCGTCTGGGCGAGCGGCAGAGCTCGTTGTGGGATGTAGTTGACGTAGCTGGTTGGCCGCGAGAAGGACAGGAGGAGGAGGAGGAGGAGGAGGAGGAGGAGGCGGCGGTGGCTGGAGGGGCCGGGGGAGGAGGTGGTCGAGGCAGGGAACGAAGTCGCATAATCGGCTGCAGCGATAGAAGAAAGCTAGAGGAGTAGCGTGAAGCGGGGAGTGAGAAGGAGAGCAGGAGGAAGAGCTGCCGCAGAGAAAACGTCAAGGGAAATGAGCATCAACTTGACGTCGCAGCTGTTCGAGCTCAACGACAGCCTGCTGCTCGACAATGTGACGGTGACGAAGCCGCTCGGCCACCAGTATCCCCTCTGGAAGATCGTCCTCATAACGACCGTCGCGGCCTGCCTCAGCATCGTCACCGTCCTCGGCAACATCATGGTCATGGTCAGCTTCAAGATCGACAAGCAACTGCAGACCATCTCCAACTACTTCCTCTTCAGTCTGGCTGTGGCCGACTTCGCCATCGGCCTCATCTCCATGCCGCTCTTCACCGTCTACACAGTTCTAGGCTACTGGCCGCTCGGGGCTCACGTTTGCGACACTTGGCTCGCCCTTGACTATCTCGCCAGTAATGCTTCCGTGCTGAACCTGCTCATCATCAGCTTCGACAGATACTTTTCGGTGACGAGGCCGCTCACCTACAGGGCCAAAAGGACCACCGCCAGGGCTGCCATCATGATCGGTCAGAGTCCCCGCTTGCTCCTACTCAATCCTCTCGTGGATCGGTGGATCGAGCATCGACCGTGCGTCGATCTGCCTCGCAAGTCGCTTTTCATTCGTGTCATTTGGCTACCGCTCTCCAATTATCCAATTATCCGCCGTCGATTCCACTTAGTTGGCTTTTCCGACTGTAGCATCGTCAATTATTCAAAGGCACGGCGAACGCTCGATGCACTTCGATCCTTCGAAATCCATGGGAACGCAAGCGACAAGATGACGCTAAATCCGTTCGCTCGACTAGGTTGCGCATGGGGCATATCTCTGATACTGTGGCCGCCGTGGATCTACTCCTGGCCTTACTTCGAGGGCAAGAGAACGGTGCCGGAGCTCGCGTGCTACATACAATTCATCGAGACCAATCATTACATTACGTTCGGCACTGCGATCGCCGCGTTTTACGTGCCGGTCAGCGTCATGATGGTATTGTATTGGCGCATCTGGCAAGAGACGGAGAAGCGACAAAAGGACCTGCCCAACCTGCAGGCGGGCAAGCAGGACGCGAGCAAACGTAGCAACTCGAGGTTGGTGCCTGTACCCCGACCAGCCTCCCTCTATTGGTATGACACCACTCGACAATCATTTTATCCTCGTCGTCGTCTCGTTTTGTTTCTCGTTTGATTGTTGGTTTGTTTGTCGATGTGTGCCTCGTTGTTTATTTGCCGTAAATTTGTGCATCGTCATTCCTAACCTTTCCCAATTCACCATCCTTATCGACTTCCCTACGAACCTATGCATTTTTTTCGTCTCATTTAACACAACGATTCCTACATGTGGTAAGGCATTTTTATAATAGATATTTGACTAAGTTGTGTAGCTCATTATTTTTTCGGCATTTTTTCTTTCAGATCGATTGAATAGCCACAGATAAATTTTCATGATTAAATAAACGAGTTCCAAGTACAATTCATCGATATAGTATTTATTATAATAGTAGATAGAAAAATGTTTAAGTGGGTAGATAAAGATTTGATATTTAATATTCAACTTTTATGTTATTTCATTTAGCCAGATATTTGTGCATGCATTCAATATATCTAGATTACGCTATTTGTTCATTTAAAATACAATAATGCTATGATAAAGCCGAAACGCATTTATTGGCTCAGTTAGTTCATTTGACAGGTGAAACGTGACCGTAGATCGCATGACAAAGCACTGCTCGCGAATATTGTACAGCAGTAATTATTCAAAATAATCCAAAGTCTCTCTCGCATAATTTCAAACTGGAAAAACAATTTGCTCGGAATTCGAAAATAAAAATAAGACTGTGCATTCCAATTAAAATGCTAAACGCGCATTCCGTAGCAACGCTTTCTTCAAATAAAGGGTTTGACCTAAATTTACACTTTACATTCGTTATAAATCTCAATCCATACATGAGTAATGGTATTTTGGAACATAACGGCGGTGAGAGGAACATAAAACAGTAGCTGAAAAAGAGGGAGAGAGAGAGAGAGAGAGAGAGAGCAGCATGGCAAAGAGAACTTTCATGTGACGAAAGGCAAAAGGAAAGTGAGAAAGGAAGCGTTGAAGTGATATATCTGAAAAAAAAATTTCGGCGCTTCACGATATTCGCGGGGTGTCGAAGCGCGCATAGCGAAAAAAGAAAAGAGAGACGCGAGCGCCGATTAAAGAGCAAAAGGAAAGCGAGAGGAAAATCATGGGGGACAAGGGGATCTTTTTAATCGGCAAAATAATATCCAGAGCAATGTCTCTGTGCGCGCGCTGTGTTTTTTCTTCCATGCTGCTGCGCACAGCGACGAAGCCCTGGACATGGAGGAGTGCAGGAGGCCGCGCAGCGAGTCGAGTACGGGTGCGGCAGATGAGGTGAATTCCACGCATATTGCGGTTTCCTATCTCGACAGGCATTATCCTCAGCACAGGGTATGTATCTCTCTTTCTCTTTATCTCTCAGTTATTATTATTCTCCTCTTCTTTGTCTTCTTTTATTACTTCACGGATAGCCTCTGGCCTTCGTCAATCATCGCAAACGACATTCCTTCGCGCTCTTTTCTCTCACTCCTTCCTCGTGTCACCGACGACGGATAAGAGAACGAGTTATTACGCGATGCTAGCCAAACTGGTAAATGGGTCGAACTCGACCTCGCTGCTGTAACCTGCACCCGTTATGTTCTCCAAAAATATTTCATTGCACGTTCGCCAATAAAATAGCGTGACGTTCGTTATATCATTTTCACTTTGGATGAAGTGATATTAGGCCGTTCAAGCCTATGTACAGATGAGAAAGTTCGTCATTAGTGGCTTAAATTACCTCGTCGTCCCCAATGCCTATACATCGTAGAGATTGACACGAGTCAATATGAAATTACCGAGTTAACGCGATGTAATCCCGTGAATGATTTCGCGCGGGCTTAGTCTACCGATATAATTCTATTTGTAGCCAACCACGACGATGATGTGGTATAACGAATAGCGCGAGTCCGACGGATAAATCGATGAATAAATATATACAATCGGCTTGTGGAGTCTGATGATAGTCGGGACAACTTTGCAGAAGCACAGACCATTGTCATGGACGTGGTTGAAGATGTGGTGCGTGGCGTGGTGGCACAGCGGCCGCGACGACGAGGACGATGAGGATGATAACGATGAAGGTGTCGGGGGGCCGGAGAGCAGTCGAACGGGGCCAGCCTACGACGAAACGTTGACACCGGTGTCGCTAGAGACGCCAGTGGCGAGCGTCACCTCGAGGATGGACTTTGGTGTGACGCAGTCGACTAGTCTCACGCTCGACAGGACCGATTCCGAAGCCCTCAGCTCGAGACCCGGCAGCAGCGTCAGAACTCCAGGCACTACTAGCGCCGCTACGATTGCCAGCAAAAATTTTTCAAATGACTCGGTAAGTCCGTCCTTATTGTTTACTCTCTCTCTCTTTTATCCATGACAGTTGGCATCTCTACGAACGCTTCGACAGAGAAACCAGAGTTCCCTACTCTATTTCCTTTTCACACATTCAGCCAAAACACCCCAATGTTCGCTGTAAAATCACATTTGTCCGATCGTTTTCATAGAATTTCCTCGAGCTTATGGTATATTAAAGAAAGTCCAATAATACAATGACTTCATTACGACCTACTGTTTTATGGACGGTAAAACGATTATATTGACATTTTTTGGATATTCCAATCAATCAAGCTGCGATTGTGTATTCCAATTACTAGAATATGCCAATCGCTACCCAACAAGAATTTGATTTTTCTGGATCATGTTAATGACATTTTATTACATGATGAAACTCATTGAGAATGGAAAAAATAGTTTTTCAAGAAAATGAAGTAGTTGTCGGTATTTGTATTCCGAGAACCGTAGCCAGACAAGAGAAAAAGTCGAACTTGTTGTCGAGCTACGTAGTATATTTTACTTAGTATGCAGCGGTGCCACTTTATTTATTTTCAATTCGAGACAATTGAAATCTTTTAAAAAATCTCGGTCTAGCTTAAAATAAAACGTAACGCTTGAGTAAACGAGCTTTCCAAAGCTACGCTTAATTCTCATTTTGTCTTTCGAAGTGTCGGAGAATTGTCGCGCGAAGCTTACACGTCATTGCTGCCGTTTGACATTGCATACATGCTGCGGGAGAATGCAACGAATACCCGGCGCATTTTACGCGAAACTGCAGTATTTTTTGTCCGAGGCGTTTTATATTGAAAAGCTCGTTAAATGGGATGGGCGATACCGTGGTTATCCTTCTTTCGGACGTTTCGCGCCGTTTCTAGTTTCGATCGTAATGCCCCTTGCTTCCGGGTTAGTAATGGCACTATCCGTCATATATATACGCTTTTGCTCGTGTACTTCTGGTCTTAGCGGTATTCCTTATTTCCGGGCTTTCCAATCGCGAGTACTCCTTACTTTCTCTTTAGCGCACTTAGTTCCGGTGGTAGGGTTCTATACTTTCCGACTTCCATTCACAGTTCGTTCTTAGACGTGCACTTTCGTACGTAGAATGCTTCAAGTAACTCGATATTATCCTCCTGAAGTATACTCGTAGAGTTACTGCACATGCTCAATTTCAGAGTTTCCCGCCACTGTTTCGCAAAATTCTAACTCGCTTGGATAATGACAGTACGTTAAATCCATTCGTACGCTCGTGGTCACGTAACCATCGAACTGTGAATATCTAACTGTGTAATATCAATCACGCAGTTGCACTGTTGTGTTCGAAAAAGAAAAGAGAAAAAAGAAGCTTCGGAAATAGAAAACCCACTAGTTGGCAGAAAAATGAAGCTTTCAAGACGAAACGTCAAGGCAAAAGCCGATCGTGAAAGCTTTGGCGATTGCAACGCGCGGAGCGCAAAGAAAAATTAAAAAAAAAATAAAAATACAAAAGGCAACGGCGTAACGGCAGCGAATACTCGGGCGCGGCAATCGTGTCATCGGAGTGCGAGTGGATTCGGTGCGACAATCGCGTTGAATCGTCGATAGCCGCGCGTGGCGGCATTGACGTATAAGACGGACTATGACAACTCTATGCGATTTCAACGTGGCCGGCTGCGCGAAGCTTGGCGCGCCACCAAATTTCCCGTGGCTCTCCCTGCGCGCGGGCAATCGACAGGTATTTTTTTTTTATCATTCGCCTCGTGTTCTGCTACTTCTCTTTCGTTGTGCCGCCACTGCTGCAAAGAAGCGAGAGCTTTGAAATATCCGCCGTGCTCGTCGTTTCGCTCCGTTCGAACGAGCGCTGACAGCTCGCGTGGTGGGCTGACTACTGCTGTATAGAAATCAATTCGATTCAATTATATGGCGTTCACGTGCCGCTGGTTTTTCTCTATGTGAAACTGGGTTTGCGCTTGATATCGCTGCCCCGGTTCCTGTTTTTGGCCGTACACAAGCACACAGTCGTATTGGCCTGGGCAACGCCGAGGCCTTTTTTTCGTCTTCTTCATTTTTGCTTTAACGAAGGACAAATAAAATTTGTTTCAATTGAAAATTGCGGTGCGAAAGGCGACACCGATGTGGTGGTTGCTGGATAACGAGATTACAGTACAAAAGGCTAAACGTATTAGCTCGGATAAGGGGGAAGTGCACCGATAACAACATATTTCTACGATCTCAATGAACTCGGTGGGCAAGCTGTAGGAGAGAAGCTGGCTGCCCGCGCACGCGCGCCACAGCAATGGAGGGTAGGAAATTTTACGTGCCCATGGGCAAACACAATTATATTGATTAACTCGCGAAAGGCTGATTACACGCGCTGCATGATAATCAAGCGAAAGACAGAGGGAGACATCGCCAGCGTGCATTCATTATCTATACTGTATCAATTTTGCATATTGTAACTTGTGCGCGCGCTGCGCGAACCGATAAACATAACGCGGAACAGCCAAATTAGTTTTTTTTGAAAAACGACAGCTGCAGCGCGGCGTCACCGGAGCTCTCGATGTAAGAGAAGGATCAATTCACCGGGGAATGCTTGAAAGTTTTTATTTTGCCCGCATGAAAGTGGAGCGCGTGCAGGTTATGTCTATATCCGTACACGCGGGGACGCTTATATCACTTAAAGCTCAGAAAAAATGATTTAAAAGAAGCAGCAGGCATTTATGCGTCTCGCGGGAAAATCAGAGACATAAGGGAAAAGAAAGGAGAAGAGCAAGGGCGAACATAAAAATTTATGCCACGCCAATGTTGCGCAAAATCTCGGATCGACCCTGGCAACGAAAATAAGGCCTGGAGCATTGTTACTCATTGCAAATAATGGCGAAAAATTTTGAAAGCTGTAACTGAAACAACAAATTTCAATGCTTATCTAATTTTTAAATTCGATTTCAACAATTTCTAGAAACGTCAATTTTATATCGTTTTCTGCAATTTCTATATATCTGTTTAACGTCGACACATATAATTTTTTTACAAATACTTTAAACATTACTTTTTTTTACGAGGTAAAAGTTGTATATTATTTTAACGGAAACCCAGTTAACTACAAGCTGACTGCGAGGATTAAAAATTGAAAAAGATCCTAGCTATTCGATAAAGTTGATTAACCCTCTCACACATCGCAAAACGGAATACCCATTGAAATGTGTCTGAAAGAATAATGGAATGATGTTATAAGCATATACACGTATACCAATACCGTTCTGTGAGTTGGTTATTCATAGAAGCGTGTACAGCAATCGAAACGAAAGTGTAGAAATCGACTCGGTGATTCACGCACGACTCGGCAAAAAATGAATGTAACTAACATTTATTTGCTTGCTTGCGCAATGTCCCCAGGTGTACACGATATTGATAAGGCTACCAGGACCACCGCCAACGACATCACGCACAAGCAGGGACAGCCAAATTCTGGACAGATACGAGCAGCCAAGCATCAAGATGTACCCGCCAGAGGCGACGATTAGCTTTCATCCGGCTCGTCGCGAGTTGGTCGGGCCGGAAATCATATCGCTGGCGAGCTTCGACGACACGTCGACGACGACGAGCAAAGCGTTGGCGAGACGCCCGTCGCAAATGACGCAACACGACGTGCGAATTCCGCTGAGCGCGAAGAACGTGGGTAAGGCTGCCGTCGGCAAGGGCTCGGCCGGCGGCAGCGGCGGCGGCGGCAGCGGCGGCGGCGTCGGCGGTGGCGGCGGCAGTAGGCAGGCGCCGGCCAAGAAGAAGAAAAAGTCGCAGGAGAAAAAGGCCGACAAGAAGGCGGCGAAAACCCTGTCGGCCATCCTCGCTGCCTTCATCATCACCTGGACGCCCTACAACATCCTCGTGCTACTGAAGCCGCTGACCACCTGCACCGGCTGTATACCGCAGGAGCTCTGGGACTTCTTCTACTACTTGTGCTACATCAACAGCACCGTCAATCCGGTATGTTACGCGCTGTGCAACGCCACGTTCAGGCGGACCTACGTGCGCATACTCAAGTGCAAGTGGCACAGCAGGAACAGGACTGGCGTCAATCGTGGCTACTGAGCTTTCGCGTGCCAGTCGCTTAAGGATTATTCCGACGATCGTCGCGGTGCGGTGTGACCAGGTTGGCAGTCGTCTGCCTCTTCCATTTACCGCGCTCGCCTCTCTCTCTCAACGCTATCTCTGCCCCCTCGGTCTGTCTTCGAGTGCGCGACCATGCGCGACTGTACGACCTTGCGTATCCCGAGAGTGGACTAAGTATTATTATTGTTGCTGTTGCTGCTACGCGAACAGTATTATCAGAGATCGGCTCGTCGACAATAGGGCGAAAAAACTGTCGAGTCCATTGAGTTTGGGAAAGGGAACGAGAAAGCACAGAGGGCCTTTACACTGGCTGGCTGTACGCGCTTTTGATAACGAGATAACTTTCCGCCGAGAAAGAGAGAGGCTTGACGTCTACTGTTCGTGAAAGCTCGTCGACGATTTCTTCCAACCGCCCGCCTGCCCGGGCTTCCCTTCCTTTCGGCCAATCGAACCTCTATCGTCGTTAAACGGGCTTTAGCTTTACGACTCTCTCTCTCTCTCTCGTCTCGACAAACCAGAGTCGTTGGACGGCTATATTTTTCTTTTGTCATCGCTGAAACAATGCCTGCTTCGTTAACGTGAGTGAATTTTTTTTTTACACCGCGTCTCTTTTGTACGAGACGAGGGTGGGGCAGGCCACTTTTCGATATGCATTCGATTACCTCTCGCAAAGTGGAGTCTCTCGACGATTGCCCACTTGCGTGCTGTTCTCGAGCTGAACTAACGACGTTTTCATCCGAAAAGGGTATCGGTTTTTTTTCCTTCGCCGACCAGGAACATCCTTTCTTGCAACGTTCTGTGTCGCCGCGCTTAAAAGCATTCATTAGACCAAGCTGACAGTGGTCTTTGCGATGGTTAGTATTACCGGTAAAGCATTTGATTTGAGGATACGCCGTCTCCTCTTTCGCGCGAGCGCGCTTTTGGCGAATCGTTGGCTAAAAAGACAAACCATTTTGTAACATAGTACAAATCTGATCGGAGTATTTTTTAAAAAGATCGAAGACATTTTTCAGAAAACCAACAAAAAAATATGAAACACAAAGCCTTTGTTATTCCGAAATAAAGAAAACTAATCGATGTTGAGATTCGGTATACGATATGCAAATTATAACAGAAACGAACGAACAATTTTTTTACTCATTGTTGTTAGATTATTATAATCCAATGTGCCACTTGTTTTTGTCCATCAAAGTATAATACTTGACGAGATAACGCTATGGCATGCTGCTGCACGTACGAGCTATTGATTTTCAAGCGATTCGGCGGAATAAAAATAGAATTTCTTGAAAGTTTTATAGTTTTCTTCGGTTATTCTCCGAAAGTTCCATTGGGCAAATTTAATGCACAACAAATCGCGATGTTCTTTAGCAACAACATTCGACGGACCGTAAAATGGAGTTTATTTTTTTTTGCGTAAAAATTACCGTTAACGTGCGGTACAGTTTGCGTGTTATCTCGCAAGGAACATAAAGTGAGATGAACTAGTTCGAGATAAAGTAAGAACGCTCGCCAAAGCGGAAATGATAATCGCACAAAAAAAAAACGAAAGAAAAATGAAACGGAACTTCGGTGGCAGCATGGCAGGCGCAACAAGCGAGTAAAATTCCTATAATGCATATTTGAATATAAAGGATATAAATATTATAAATATATATGAATATACATATGTGTGTGAGCGACGCAATGCTCGGCGCGAGTATACATATACTTAAGCATGCGAAAAAGTGTAAGAGTATGCCAAAGAGAAGGCAAAAAAAAAAAACAATCCCGGACGAGAAGACGAAGTTAGGGAATTTGCAATTCAAAGAGGCGACGCGTAATATTCCAAAACGCATGCGTTTCCTATTCCTTGTTTTCCTTTTTCTACGAAAAATCAATCGCACGCGCACACTTTCGCAACGCAACCGAGAAGGAAGGAATCGAGAGACGCGCAATTAGCGGCGCAGCCACAGCAGGTTGAATAATCAAATCACGGCACATAAAGAAACGCGACCGGTTTATACATTACACTTAAGTCGGGTAAGTCGACGAGGTGATTTTCGTTTTACAAGTACAAGCGTGCGCGAGATAGCGACGGTGCGATGTATCAGCAGCGTACATGGCTTTAATCAATTTATCGTCGATAATGGCGAGAGACGAAGCAAACAAATTTTGAAGCGCTAGAGCAGAACGACGACCACTTTTTACGGACAAAAAAGAAACACATAGACCCGACGGGCGATATCGATATATAGATAGAAATATATATCTGAATGTTAATTCCTGTTGAAACTGGACAGTTAAAATTTAACGCGGTGCAAATGTAGCTCATCAAATTTTACGTATCTGTGTGCGTAGATAATGAAGAGATATAATAATAATTAAACCTTAACACTGAAGCTCAAAATAAAAAAATGAACACCCGATCGATGATGCATGTTCACCGAAAAAGCTACATAAATATAGTTACATATAACATTCTAATTAAACGTGCCAAAGCGATGCTTTAACGATAGGCAGGAGGACATGTGGTAGAGAGGATAAAATGATAAACATGTCGGTACACAAAAAACGGGTTTAACTTAATGTAACAATTATATTTCTTATTGAAGGTATCGCGATATAATTCTAATGAAAATACGAACGGTATTTACATCTCTGAACGTTTACACGTTGTATTAACCGTGTGTGAAAGCGTACGCGCGTTGTTTAATAACCTAGAGTATAACATTTTCGCTGGGCAGAAAAATCTTTTGATAATCGAAAGTTTTGAGTTCTCGCATGGCCTCTTCAATTTTTACTGGTTTATTTTTCTTCTCATTCTCGCAATCAATCTTATCATCGACAATCTCGTATTTTATTGTTAAAGTATTTAATTACAAATCGGTTGATTGCCGTTCGACAAATGATAAATTGAATTCTACTCGCGTGATAATACATTGAATTCGCATTCCGATTTGAATGCCACGGACGTCGATGAATTTTCGAACTATCAATACATTTTTTCATTCAGTGCATAAAAATGCCAATTTGAAAAAGGCATAGGCATGAACGACAACTGACGTATAAAAAGAAAATAACTAAATTATATTATATATGTGTACGTTATAAGCGACAAGATCGTTTCCAAATAGTTTAGCAAAATGTTGTTCCACCGAATAGATAACCGTAAATATTATCATGCGACACACTTTGAAAATGTATAATGCACAATTGAGGCATTACAACGCGCGAAAATTCAGTCGCACGTAAGATGAAGGGGTAAACGAAGTAAAATTCTTTTGGCGTACTGAGCAAATTTCTATCCGAATATAACGAAGCTGTAGACAATATTTCATCGGTTAGTTTCCGACGTGTTTGTTGATTATTTCTAATTTTCGAAAAGGTAAAAAAAGATATACGTACGGGGAGTATTTGCAAAATATCAATAATAATAATAATTATAATAACAAAAATGGGTATATCATGCTCTTTTATATTATTAGAGAAACAAAAAAAGAGGAAACGTTCTCGAACGTTAAATTCTACTATAGACGACAGATTTTTTTACGACTTTGACAATTTTTTAAAATCAGTGTGTACTTTACTCATAAGATATATATACCTTTTCAAGTGAAATAATTTTTTCAACTTTTATACCTTTTAAAGTGTTCCTTTTAAGCTATCAAAAAAGAACAAAACAACTGAAAATAGTGAACTCACTTGACAAAAAGATACTAATGCAAAAAAGAAAAAATAATAACTGAGCCGTGTGCAATCATATCGATGACAAAAAACTATGATTTCTCTCGAGCAAAACAGTATCACTCACTATAGTCCGTTACTAAATATTGGTGTGCTCTACTAAATTTCCACTAATCTTCGATAAAAACTTCCATTTTTAAAAAGTACATGTTCACAATTACGAAAAGCAGCTACACTCACACACACTGTCACGTACGTTTGCAAATGAAAAAAATAAAAAATAAAAAATAAAAAAAAAACATAAACACGAAGACAGCTAGTCCAGAAAATCGAGTTTCCTTGTCAAGAAGGGCGTAAAGTTATTTTTTCGTCGTGAATACGCGCGTGTACGACGACGAGCGAGCTTGCAAAAATATAATCACCAAAAATTTTTTACCTTACACTTCATCGACCTAGTTTGCATCGTACGTAAATAAAGAGCCACATCATCTAAGTGTATAATGTAAACTATTAATACATTATTGAAAAAAAAATTTATAGTCGTTGATTGGGAATTTCGGTAATCGAAAACGATACTCAATGTGATTTTAAATAATATATAGATAAACATCCTTGCGTTCCTATTGCATAGATCACAACGAATCGATATTTCACAAAAACAATTTAACGTGAAATATAAATGTGTAAAAATATAAATATATGATAAATAAATACAAGCACATTAGAAAATTTCTCGATCGCCATTGGGTCGAAAAAATTTCTTCTATATGCTCACTTTGCGCCACTCAATAATATAGATATACACCTATCTTCATTAAAACAAAATAGATTCGTAAAGGTGTTATTTACATATTACAAAAAGAACAATTTATGTCTTAAAAGAGACAGTCAATCGATGTGCTGTTTTGTGCAACTTGAACTTTCCCGAGCGTAAGCTCTGCTGACAAGTCGTCGTACACGTAAGCGCCGCTTGTAAAACCACGCACACGTATATGAATATGATACTGTATTTGAAAAAAAAGAAATCTATCGCGTGCGATAACAATTTTTCGATATAAAGATGCGAGTCGAGAATTTCATAAAACAAATACTGTACGATCAAGATTTAAATTAACAAATAGTAGTATTAACATTAATACAATTAATTACTTAATTATTGTGAAAAGCAAACCAACAACCAAGCAAAAAAATCAATTGTATAAAATACCGATGTACTCGCAATCTATGTTTATATACGTGATTTATATTACCGGCGAGAAACTTAACGAGGAAGAATTTCAAGGTTTCGCCAAGTTAAAGTGACGACGAGCAATGAATGTGTAGTGTGATAAGTAGAATTATTTACAGACAGCGAGCGTTTTACTAAGGTCAAAAAAGGAGAAAGAAATAAAGAAGATGAAGTTAACGCAAACCAACAAGAGAGAAAAAAAAAACATAGATTGGTCGAATTCTTTTTTTATCTGTCCCAGCTTTCGTAAGAAAAAAGAGCGAGCTCGGTGTTAACATAGCAAAAGAGAGAATCTATTCTGTGTCTGTGTGTGAAGCAGGACTCGACATGGAGACACACCATTAATTAAGGTAAAAACGAAACAATCCGCGCGGGCAATGTCAACAAGAGAGAACTACTGTTCCGTCGTACTATTACTCGGACGTTGGAATTATGTATTGTAACATCGCTCGTTTTGCGATATCTGTCAGAAACATAAATATAAATGTAAAACAATTTATATAGCAGAAACAAAATAAATTTAACAAAAAAAAAACAAGTCATAAGTCGTACTATTTATACACGAGAGAGAAGCGTTTTTACCGAGAAAACAAAACAAATTACAGTTAATAGTAATATTGTAATACGGGAAAGAGAAGCGTATCTACAAAAAAAATAACAAATAGGAGAGAAAAGTCATTGAAACAAAAAAAAAATTAAATTAAAAAATAATAAAAATATTAACCAAAGGATTCGGAATAAAAAAAAGTCTTGCTCATTACTGCTCTCTTTTTTCCATCTCGTCGCGCTTTTTTCCTTTTATTTATTTCGTTGGTCTGGGGCGTGGGTGCACTTTTATTTCCCCGCAATAACGAGGGATCTGTACGTATATGCGCGGTGCAGTTTCTCTTACTTGAAACTCCCCCCCCCCCTCAGAAAAAAAAAAAGAAAAAAGAACAGGAAGAAAACATTGGATATGACAAAGAGGTCTTCGCGGCTAATTCGCTCTGTTACAGCTATGTATATGTAGAGTACGTACTGTCTGGCACTGAAAGTCAGCGAGATTTTTGTCGAGCGTTGTATTTGTAATACCGTAATACCATTAAGTTTATATTACAATATACAGATGTGCTTCTTCGAATATGGTGAGAGAGTTCGTTATTTTCCTTACTTTGTCGTCGTCGTGGTCGTCGTTGTTGTCGTCGTTGCCGAGAGCGCGCAATACATTTGTGACATTTTGCAAAGCTGATATATTTATTATGAGTCGGGAGGATTCGTGCGAAAAGAGGACGATTGCTATAATTGTGGAAGAATAATTTTATTTTTTCACTATTAACAGTATTTTCTATTGCGATAAATATGGCTTGATAGTGTTTTTAATTTGTATGTATTGATTCGCCGTTGAGACGTTTGGCCAAAAATAGCGAATGGAGTGGCTTGTACGCATTTTGTATAAATCCGATAAGAGAACAAGAGAATCTTTGTAAATTTATAAAGTTTGCGCGTGCGCGAACACTACGTGATCGCATCCGAAGTACATTAATTGGTATTTTAAATGGACGGCAATTGAGAAAGTCACTTGTACTCGATTTCATTTTTTTAATAAGTTTTTCTCGACTACTAATATTAAAGTTTGTGCGCGCGCAAAAAACAATTTAAAAAAAAAACCGAAAAATTTCCATGTTACATGCAATGAATAGACATCACACTGCGGTGCGGTTGTTTTTTCGAATAGAATATCTAATTTTACGAATTAAGGATAACCTTCTGTGTGAGGAGAAATAAACATTTCGAATAAGCGTGTTACAATTATATCTATAGGCACATTATGTATAAAAAAAGTTACGCGCCATATTTCGACTTGAATAGAACATACTAATAATGAAAATAACAAATGGTAAAGCTGTGGAACAGAGAATAAAGTAATAAAATTTAAGTGGCATCATTTTAGTTCTCTTATCCGACTTGCGACATATACAAAAAGCGACGATTCATTTTGGCCGATGACTCGAAAGTGATAAGACAAAAGAAATTCGAAATGAAGAATCCTTTCTGTCGTCGACGATCTTTTTATCGAGTCAAGTTGCGCGTGGACGAAATCGAAAACATTATCAACCGAGCAAAAAATCGAAAAAAAAAGGGAAAGTTACTTCGAACGCTTCAAAAGCACATGAAAGCTTTTATCTTGCAACATAATATAATATAGACAATGCGTCTCCCTTTCGTGCTCCATGTGTGCAGGCACATATTATGCTCGCATACGTACGTAATAGCACGCGTATACAACTTGACTTTGGTCTAGAAAAAAAAGTTATTAATACGTTTCAAGGTGAATAGCGCGCATAATATAGCGTTGTAACGAGAGAGAAGACGCAAGTCTATTGAATTGAACGTGGCTCGATAAAAACATTGACGCAAGGCACTTTTTTCCAGTAATTTAAATTTAACAAACTATATATATATATATATATATACATATATATATACGCACACTTACACACACACCAAGAAAAGGAGAGAAACAGGAAGAAAGCAAGCTTATTTAAAAGACATCGACGTTCACAAGTTTTACGTACAATAAATGTATCAATATAAATTTGGCCTTAAACACAAGATCTGTTTCCTTTTAATATAATAATAATAATAATTTTGAACTGATAAAAAAATGTTATAATTAATAAAAAAACACACACAATAATTTATGAACTATTATTGCCATTTGCACGATATTTAATTCGAAAAAAATTGCATTTTTAAAATGACACTCAGATTATATTTACATTTGAGAGTTTTGTACTTCATTCTGTTCAAGTTTCATGCTTTTGAAGCTGAAGCTTATAAACTACATTTTTATATAGCGCCAACTTTAAATTGTACTAGGAACAATCGTTTACAGAAATACTACCTTGTCGTTCGATAAGAATGAACATTCTCCAATGTAAACATAGTCGATCTTAAAATATCTCTCTAAAAAAATAATCATTGCACTAAGGCGGTTTTTATAATTAGAATTTGTATTATTTACACCTCCAAATCAAAATCATTCCTCTACAGCTAATGGTATCTATTCTCAATGAAACACACTTAGTTTTTTTCTATTATATATAAAAAATAGAAGTTTTTTTCTGGCATTTGAAGATGCAAAAAGGAAAGTATCTTTTGCCTTCTTATAACATTATGACACGATATTTATTACTATGACACCCTTTTTTAGCAAAATTCACTTACGCATTGAAAAAAAAGGTGCTAAGATCTATTTTTATAATCACACTTTTCTTTTCTATTGTTAAGATTCTTATTCGTTTAGATTGGCAACTATTTACGTACATTACAGTAGGATTAATGTATAGTTGATGTTTCCAATGACTATTCGTAGCTTTTGATATTATCCATTTCATCAAGCGTTCTTGAATATTTTTTTTGTACAGTCAAAGTCGAAATAGCCATCGAAAACAACAGAATCAGACTTGTACAGTGAAAAGTCAAGATTACTTGGCTAAAAAGTCCTTATCATACACTTTACTACAGTTTCTTCCATCGCTCTACAACAAATATCACACTAGTATAAGAAAAAAGTTGAAGAAACTAAGTACCACGTACATTGATTTGGGCGATAGTTACGCTAATATTGACACGAACTACTGGCTTTCGAAAGAAATAAAATTGCCTTTCTCATTCGAAAAAAACAAAATATTAATCTACACAAAAGTAAGTATTACAGAGAAAGGAACTAGAAAGAAGAATCAAGGAGATAATAGAAAGGTAATAAGGCACATTTAAAATATCATTTAGCGTAATCCCGGTGGCCAGTCGACTCAGTATGTAAGTTCTTTTTCCTGGGTAGCTGCAAGGTGATAGGTTGCACCTCTTGAAAGCTCGGTCGTCTGGTGTCGACGTAACCAGGCGTACGAAACGACAAAACGCGAAGATTTGGCACATGCTGCTCGACCGGCCAGTCGAAATTGAAGACCGATACCGGGGTCTCGGGCGTATGATAATCCGTGGACGAGTCGTCGGGCGTGTCGACCGGCGTCGTCGGCGTGGTGATGTACGGACTCAGTTCTTGGTGTACCACATCCGGCACTCGCTGCAGTCCACAGTCCGGCCAGAGCTGCGCTGGTTGGTGCTGTTGCTGAGGTAGTACGACCGTCGTCGTGGGCGAAGCGGACGCCGTCGGACTCGACCATTGGTCCTGGCCGACCTCGTAGCCGTACTGTGCACGTCGAGAGCGAACTTGTGAGAAGTCTGCGAGCTCTATCGGGAAAAGTTGCCGAAAGGGTGCCCCCGCCCCTCCCCCGTGCGCTTTTGTCAGGACGGAATCCGGATAGAGGCGACTGATTCCGCGAGCTTTTCTAATTACACGCGCGACGGTCCGTCCGCTCCAAACTTTACTTTCTCGAGAAACGTAGGCGAGAAATCAGCCGCGCGAAAATTTCTCGCCAAGCTGATTAGCGAACAAAGCAACCAACGTACCGTGTGATGGAGGGCAAGATGATGGTGATGGTGATGGTGCGACGGGTCGGTAATGCACGGATGGGGCTCGAGACCAGGCGCTGGCGGCAGCGGCGCTTGCACTTTGGTCTGATGCAGCAAGAGCAGTTGCCGCTTTTGCGAGTAAGTCGGCCCGTAGACGTCAATGTGGTGCTGGTCGTTCGGATGACCGAGCTTATCCAAATCGACGATGTTGTACTTGGGTGTGCCATTGTGATCAGGACTCGGTGCCATACCCGGTGACAGCTGCTGCAATGGCTGTGGTTGCGTTGGCGATTGTTGCGGCGATTGATTTGGCGCTAGGTACTGGCTTATTGTCTTGTTACTGGCACGCAGGTACGTCAGGTTCGACGACGACATTGGCCGGCTCGGACTTTTATTGTTGCGCTGCACCTGCATCACATCGCTTTGTCAATGTTGCTTTCTCATATTTTTCTCATCCAAAATATTTTATCGTTTTTCAGTTTCAGTATCATTGTGATACTGTAATCTTTTGAGTAACTATAGCCATGGATGTAAATAATCCATTCAAAAATTATTCACGGTTATGTCGAATCCATAAAACGTAATTGCCAAGTAATGGTCAAATGAAAGCAATTCACATTGAAATTAGGATAATTTTACGTACGAAGTCGATAATGAAATACCTTTCACTACCCGTAGAATGTTAAAACCATTTTTATATGCCTCGGAGATTTACGTATCTTTGTAGTGAGTAGATAATCGATGAAGAAATTCATTGCTCGCAATCAGTGTCGACGAAAAGAACAGTACAAATAAAGGAAGTTCCAGGGGAAAGGAACTGTGACGAGGTAAAAGCGAAAAAGCACAAACGATATCGGACATCGTACCATCGTTACGTATGGCTTGTTACAAGGACAGAACTCGGCGGCTGCTTGATTGTGGCAATGAGGAACGCTGTGTCTATCGTCCAGCTGCTGCTGCTGCTGCTGCTGCTGCTGCTCGGTAGCAGTGTTGTTGATGGACATATCGACGGGCTCGGCTGTATTATCCGCTGGCGCCGTCGCCCCCTGTCCCGCGTGATGGTAAGTTCGGGATGACAAGGGCTGCTGCTGCTGCTGTATGCTGGAGTCGCCGTAAACCTGCAACGCGCAAAACCGATAACCCAATTCCGGCCTTGAAATTTATGCTGATTCGCTTATGCAGCGTCCTCTATCTCGTGCCTCTGCCGCGCACTTTGATGGATACCAACTAAGCGAGTTAGGCGTCTCATCGCGATAATTTGATATTCGACTCTAATTATCTCGCCACTGGCGCGGCGCACGCGAGCACTCTGACTGGCAGTAAACCCACTGTCCCCTCCTCTCTCGGTCTTTCTCATTTTTCTATGCCGGGCGTAAAGCGAGAGATGTTGGTTTGCTCGTTTGCGATTTCGTTGCAATGAAAAGAACTAGTACGCGAACGGAAATGTCTACGGTCTACAAGAAGGTGCTCCGCGACTGACGAACGGCTGCGACAAGTTTGGTAAGAGTAAAAAGGTACTTTCTCCGCGCTGACGCTCTCTAAAAATGGCTAAGGGGAGGCAAGGATCCGAACAAAGGGCATTCCAGCACGTATATTACAAACCTCGGTAGGTTCCTGCTTAACGAGCGTCGTCCTGTCCTTGGGCCAATGTCCCAGCTGAGCGTTGTCATCGACGACGGCGACATGCGAGGAGGACGAAGCCTGATAAGTCGCGATGTCAAGCTCGGTCGGCGGTAAGCCGTACGGGATAGCCAGGAGAGCGGCCGCCGTGGCCGCCGGTCGCCCATTGTAATCGACGACTTCGGGCCCGTAGCCGAGGCTCGGCTGCGCTGCTATCGGCGCCACGGCCGACGCCGTCGTGTTATTAGCAGTAGTTGCTGTCGTCGCCGTAGTACCCCCCGCCGCCGCCTGCAGTTGCGGGCACACGCCGTACGTGAACTTGCTCTGCGACGAATACTGATACAGCCAGGAACTTGCGCGCAATATCTCGGCCTCTCTCTCGCTGTCGTCGTCGGCATATGCAAAACCACGCACAGTTTGTCATTAGGACGAGTCGCGTCGCTTTATCGTCTCCCTCGTCCTGTGCGAAAAAGGGACCTCCGCCGGTCCAAGTTTCACCACGTTGGAGACTAATCGTTCAGTAGTCATCGAATCGCGGACTCTCGTCTTCGTTCGACCGAGTGCATTCTTCGGTTCAGAAATTTTATCGCTTATAAATTTTATAGATTAATTTTCAGCCGCTTCAATTAAAGCGTGGCTTTTTAATCAATAGTGGCGAACCGAATAGCTATTCAATCGATAGAAAGTACATGAAAAGCAATACCACTAAAGCAGTCCTAAAGTCATGAATGACGGAGAAAACGATAGAAATTCATGTCGTTCGAGTTGGAAACCAAATAGGCTTCCACCTCGGCCGAATCGCGTCCATATTTGTTTTACCGATTTTTCAAGCAGTAAAGAGGAACTGAACTCGAGGCCGTAAACCGTTATCAATATACACGCGCGGGAAGAACGTAATGGCTCTTCGCATAGAGGCATAAAAAAATTGATAGCTCAATTCTCAAAACGCCTGCAAAGTTTGTCTTTGCCAGAGCTAAAATGCGAAATGGATATATCTTTACCTTAATACTTGATTGGTACAAACAATAATCGGATGCTGGCATTCTTCGGAGGTGTCTTTGACTTGTAGGACGCAGTGGACCCAGAACCACCTGCCGGAGCGACTCTGTATCCTCAGTAACGCTGTACTCGAGCGCTCTTGATCGGATTGTATAACTGAGGAAAAACGAACGTTTGAAACAGGCTTGGCGTTGACACGCCGGTGCGATATACCTACCAGTTTGGTGCTTGCAATATGCCGTGCGAATGCTGTCCCAATGCAGGAGATTATACCAGGAGACGCCGACGAGCTCCGAGCGACTGTATTCCATGTGACTTTCGGCTCTGAACGTTCATTTCAAGTGGATGCATCGAGATCGTTACAAAGGGCAGATTGATACGAGTGACGCGCACGACGCGGGCAGAGACAGACGGCACACTTACGTTTTGTCGATGTGGAGGTATTTCATGTCCATCGAGTGGATGGTCGTGAATATGTTGGTCGCGCCCTGCACGACGCTCTCGCGCGTTTCGGGCAGCACCACCGGCGTGCACGACGCCAAGAAGACCGACTCGCTGCGGTTGCTCTGCAACGCGAACGGCAAGTAGCGGCCCTCGACCAGCACCACCTGGATCATTCGATCGGCATTCACTCGGCAATGACTGCCGGTACCCGAGGCGTCGCGCTCGACTCGGCTCGACTTGGCTCGACTTGTCTCCTCGACGCGGCGGAAATGATTTTCGCTCATGAGCCGCGCGCAGACCGAGACAAAAGACCGCGCCGAGCTGCGGCGAACGAGAGATGGCGAATCGCGCACGAGGAGGTCAACGTACTCGTCGTGCAACGAGTGCCCCTCGGCCCGTGGAGCGCGCGTGGCTGCTCGGCATACGTTCGGCGAGCGTGCAGCGACAAATTAAAAGATCGGTCGGATCAATCGATAGGCGTGTGTACGTGGCGGCGGCGCCGCGCGTGCACGGCGCACACGGCGCGCCGGCATGGCTAATCGTGGGAAGACAAGCCGCCGCGCGATCATGTACCTTTTGATCTCCGAAGCGCAGCTGCCTGCGCGAGTTGCGCGACACGTTTATGCGGCACAGAAATAATCTCCGGTCGTTGGGCAGCGTCGCCGTCCCCGGAGCTCCGTTGTTGCCCACTGCCGCCGCTTCGACGCCGCTGCCCGGTCCGCCCGAGCTTCTAGCCAGCTGATTCTGAATGACCATGTGGTCTTGTTTGTCGACCACGTCGTAAACACTGTCTCCGTGGATCAAGAGGTCTTCCTGCGACAGTCGTGTTTTGTCTGTTGTTCAATTGCCTGCTTGGATTGCCCGACTCCTGACGTTTCGTCGTCGCTCTCGCGGAATTGCATTGATACTTTTTATGAAGAGGCAATATACAAACGGCGCTTTACGTAAGCGCACAAAGAGTCGCAGATCGCGCTGTAATCGCTTGCATTTTTATTGTGAAAATATCGCGACAAGTGTTATGATTACTCGTCGGGCGGTTACGTTAAGCACGCCGTTGAGAGGCAAATTTAATCAAGTAATTAAAAATAATAAACACCTGAGAGGGTCGCGCGGATTGCCCCACTACTCTGCCAGCGCACAAATTCTCTCTCTCTCTCTCTCTCTCTCTCTCTTTCTCTCTCTCTCTCTCTCTCTCTCTCTCTCTCTCTCGAGGGGGGGGGAGGGGTTCATTTTACGACTAAAAATCTCGTTCCTGTAATTAATTCCGTGTGCTAAAGCGTTTTTCTCCCCAGCACTTAAGTGCCTCCATCCCGGTAGTCTTGTAAATTATTATACGCGCGACAAAAAAATAAGAAGCCTATTTGTTCAAACGTTTCGTAAACTTGCGTATCGTTCGTGGTGGACAGCAAGAAAATATAGTATATATGTATATATCAGGGGATAGCAGATGAAAACTGTCGTTACCATCGAGTGACCCAAGTATTCGGCAGCATTTTCCGATATATACAGCAGCTTGCCTTGTTGAGTCATCATCATAATGAAGCCGGACATGGCCTGCAAGAGAGTATCTGTTATACGTTTCTCTTTAGAAAAAATATACAGTGTATGACAAAAAATACAAAGAAGGAGAATCGACGTTTGCCAGAGAGAATTTCCGTGCCAATGTCGATTAAAATTTACTGTCGCGATAAAAGAAACATAGGAGAACGAGAAAGGAGTCTCGTAACGGTTATCGTTATCATGCAAAAACGTACTCACTGAAAATTTTCTTCTACCTGCTATCGTCGCGGAGATACGATTTCTGAGAGACCTTCGATATAGACCAGCGTGAAGAAAATAGTGTCGTTATTTCTCGCGTCTAATTTTCAATTTTTATATGAAAACTAAAGTTACTTTTTCTCCAACTTAGTGGAAAGAAATTTGCTCCACATTTACTTTACTTCACAGATAAAGTGGCTTTTAAAATGGAACTTTTAAAATTTATTGCTCGAAAAAGCTGTCGCAATATTTTCGTAAAGTGGGTTTACCGTACCTTTGAAAATCCAATGTTTGGCGTTGGCATGCTTGCGGATTCTTGGTCTTTTTTTAATACTGAAAGAAAAAAATTGAAGAAAGACAATTTTTTCAATCTGCATCAACACACGTTACAATAATTAGCATTTAGTTTGAACAAAGAATCGAATATTAATTGATCAACAAAATATACATTGTATAATCGATAAAATTCCAGGAGAGATTAAAATTATAAATGTCCATCTATCGCATCTTCTCCAAATATATAATATTAAAAAATAATTCCATAAAATTGATTTGAAACCTAAGAGCCGCTCCAAATTGCAACACTCGTGTCTTAAATTTTACACTTAACTCACATTTAAGTGAATCCCAATTTATTTATTTTTTTTTTCAATCGCGCATCCCTTAAATCGAACGCACCGCAACGTAATCATCACTTGCCCGTATGTAACGAAACTCCATAAACTGTCGAAAAAAAAAAAATTATAAACTCCGAAATCCGATCTAATGACCATTCACGCATCTTGCCTATCGCTCGCTCGAGCCACGTAATTTCAACAATAAAATTAAACAACCATCGTTGCGGAAAAAAAGAAAAAATACATGGTCTTCCCGAAGCAAAAGAAATTGCATTTGGGGTATCAGAAACGTCGGATAGGCGCCGGACACGCAGACAATCGCACATATCATACACACACATAGGTCTATAAAGAATGCTGGGCACGTTGGCGCTGTGCAGCCGCAGCAGCGGAGCGGTATAAGGAGCAGGATACATAAAAGAGCGCGGGTGTATTATGGGAGATAGCGTCGTGGGTATGCACATGCACACACAGAATATACACTGGCGAGCGGATAGTGGGGGGCGAGAAGGTAGGCAGTTTCTCTCTCTCTCTCTCTCTCTCTCTCTCGCATATACACGAGGGGAGTATGGGTTACAGGAGCGTGAGAGTGTTGTTGCAGAGGCCGAGAGGTCAGCGGATCACCCGGAACTCGCGCTTAGAGCGGTTAACTTTTGCCTCCCTCGTTCTCTCGCGACCGCCGCAAGTACACTATATATATACACATATATATGTATATATAAATGTGTATGTTATATATATATATGTGTGTGTGTGTGTGTGTACCAACTTCTCCTCTCTCTCTCTCTCTCTCTCTCTCTGTCTCTACCTCGCTTTTTCTTCTTCTTACGTCTTACCTTCCTTAGAGAGGCACACTCTCTCTCTCTCTCTCTCTCTCTCTCTCGTAGCTTATGCCTTTTATCTCGCTCTGCGAGAGATTCCTTTTTTCGTCCTCTGCGCCGCGCGGACGCTTTTCTGTACCTCATCGAGCTTATAAACAATGACCTCCTAAGTAGTGGCAGCCAGAGCGCACGTACACACATGCAACTCTCTTTCTCCTCAGATGCACTCCGACCGCCGGTCTACATTTATATGCGCAAGGATCTTCGTGAATCAATGTGTCGCCGATGCTCATTTTCCTTTTTATTCTTTCCAGAGAGGGAATATTGTCCGCGGTTATGTGGCGATTTCGTTTTGTTTTCGGTTATATTCGAACGAACGGTTCTCGTCTGCCGCGAATCTTTCTCGAGACTCCGCGGGGCAATCAATTTTAGTGTTTCCTTTATCGCGAAAATCGAGTAAAAGGAAGATTCGGCATGACGCTTGATTGCACGGGCAATGAAAGCGGCTTTCAAGTCGATCGTTAAAAAATGCATAGAGCGTGCGCGATTGAAATGAGGGCCGATAAATTAATTAGAGGCAAGTTGGGACGAGGGACGAGGCGCGCCGAGCTTTCATTGTCGTTCGTAAGGCAACGCTCGTTAATCCTGATTCGGCGAAGGAACGAAGAAAGCGCGGAAAATAAAAGAAAAAAAAAAAAAAAAGAAAAAATATGGCGAAGTAGGCAGAATGGTATTTATTTTTAAGAGGTATGATAAATGGCAAGAGGGGGAGGAGCGTGTGAAAATGGTCCGGCGCATGCAGGCAGGAGGATGAGAGAGCTCGCGAGAGGTCATTCCGCCAGGACGGCCGTGGCGGCGACTCGCGCGCGGGCTGCCCGTGCCCTACACGTGTTTGCATAGGCTAAATAGGCGTTCGCATTTTATAGCTACATCTCGCCTTTACTTGGCGTTACATCGCGCGCCCGCTTGCGTCATGCTTTCGTTAATTGCAGGCAATCGCGCTGTTAACCGTGGCGATGGCGCGCGCGAGGCTTCCATGCCAATAAACACTATGATTAACGTTGATAATTACGGCGCGCAGGCGCCCCGGCAACACCACCGCCGCCGCCGACGCGAGAAAACGGGCAAAACGATCCTTTTTCCCCGTACAAAGGCTTATCACGCACGGCGCTGGAGCCATCCTGCCAGCGCTTCGCGATTTCGCCTTTTATTCGATTATTTATTCTCACCGCTGAAAATATCGCGAACGCCGCGCGCCGCGATCATCCACCTCCCTTTTGTGCGATTAACAAGTCGCGTACGTTGGGACCGTGCGCTGATTGAAACTACGTGTGCGCGCTATATACTTTGCCACAAGTTATAGATCAGGCGGCTAACAAAAGAAGACATTGATAAATAGGCCAGCTTGAACTTCTCGAAGAATTAAGAAGAGAATTGAGAAACTAGCGAGAGAGAGAGAGAGAGAGAGAGAGAGAGAGAGAGAGAGAGAGAGAGAGAGAGTTAGGCATTGCTTGAATAGGCCGCGAAAACTCACTTAACTGTGCTTAGCCCATTACAAAGACTTTACAGCTTCGCTTAAGCAGCAACCACTCTGCTGAATATTTTCGCGAGCCATTCATTTTGCGCAAAAGATTTATAACGCTCGTTCATTATCTTAATTGAATCGATCAATTTTGCGGGAAAGGCCTTTTTTCAGGCCCTTTGGCTTATTTACCGATGCCACCAGAATTCGGACGAGATTGAATTTATTATTGTCATTGAGTCAAAGCTGTGATGCTAGTCTGTTTTCGAAAAAAATAGATTATTAGTTAAATCACTGAATTTACAGTTGAAGGCATTCATAGCTTGAAAATAACTTTATGCAGACAAATATGGCCTGTATTTACTTCTAATATTTGTTTAATTACACAATATTTTTTAAGCTTGTCAGATTCACTTCAATAAATTAATCATTTAAATTGTGGATATTTCAAATTTAAAGAAAAAAAAACACTGCTAGCTGCTGTGGTGTTATGATTTCTCGGGAAAGATGAGATGGTATATTTGATTACTCATCAAAATATGTTATCATGGAAAAAAAACTGATGAAAAATTAAAAACATCCAAAAAAAGCTTTTTCATAAACGTCTTGAAAAATAACTATATACATTTTTTTTATCCGACAAATCAACTTGAAATAAAGTTTGCCACCTATACCTTACAATATTCCTCGTCCTGAATACAGATTTATGGAAATTTATCAAGCAAAGTTACATATATTAATAAAACGTACATGAACTCATATTCCTACGAACAAACATTATACGAAAATCTGACTTTGTCATCTCCTTATGACTAATTATCAAGCAAAATGTGTAAAAAAATTTTCCATTAATTAAACGTAGAAAAAATTTTAAGATGGTAAAGATAAAGAAATTTTATTAAGAAAAATAAAAATAACAGAAAAGAATAACGGGAACCAAGCTTACAGTGCAGCAACTTAATTATTGACAGGAAAATATCCCATCATCGACGATTGCGCAAACACTAGAAACTTATTGTTTATACAACGCGCCCCGTTCAAGAATAGATCGAGAGTGTTGAAAAGGTTTCTCGTCAAATACGAGTGAAATAAACTCACCGTGCTGGAAGTAATTTGCCTTCCTGAGAAAGACACAAACAAGAGCCATGAGTTGTAGTTGAGAGAGCCGCTGTCGTGTCGAGGGTGGAAGCGGCAGGAGGTCTCGCAAGTTGGCGATCTCCGCGTTTATCAGGTCCCTTCGCAATTTGCTCGCACCTTTCGTGGATTTGCTCGCATCTATCCTTCAAAGATCACACCCAATTTTTTCGTTAGCACACGCGCACAGAAACAGCAACAACAAACACGGACGCACAACTCGACGATAACTTTTCCATTTTTTTTACATCACCCGGCTGATCCAGCCCCTTAACTTAACTTTTTTACGGCACGTTCTCGCCTGCAAACGTCTTAACTTTTTCTCGAGTTTCGCTCACCTTTGCGCTTGATTCCCGAGTGATATATATTTTGCTTCGAAATCAATGAATTTTGCACACAAAATGAAATGTGGTTGAGACAGCTCGATTCGTCAAAAGCTTTGTCAGGCGTGTTTTTCCAAGGCGAGTGATTTTTAACGTGAATCAACTGGACTATAAAACCGAATTGAAAAAAGTAAAAAAGAAAATCGACGAAAAACCAGCGATAGCACAAGCGAAAAGTGGCGGAAAAGCTCGGGAGCGCAGACGAGAAGGCAGTCGGGTGAGGCGAGAAGAAGACGCAAGCACAGCGGCGCGCGCGCTCGAGGGGGGGGGGCTGGTTTTTGGTTGGATCCTTACCGATTGAACATATTTGGCCGACCTGCTTATTGAGTGGTCAGCCTTCGGCCGGTGGTGTTTGTCAGCTAGGCTGGACATTAGTCGTGGGCTGCTGCGAGCTGCTGCAGTAGGCCGAGCTCGCTCGGTACATCCGGCTCGCAGGTTCCCGCGAAACTCCGGCCGCTGCAATCTAACATCCGGGTCATAACGCGCTACTACACTGAACACGTGGTAAGAGAAGAGAGAGACCAAGCTCGGCTACTCCTTCGCAGCGTACAACTCCTCCCCCTCCTCTCTCTCTTTCTCTCTCTCTACCGAGTCTTGGCTCGTTCCTTCCTTCGCTGGCCGCTGCCGCCGCTGCCGCTTTGCTTTTGCTCGCTTTAACTTTGCCTAGACGCTCCGCGCGCTCCCCTCCACACACACACACACACACACACACACACATACAGAGCCACGGTGTATACCCTTTCTCGCGGCTTGCGCTATTTCTCTTACCGAGCTTGGCGCATTTGCATGCGCGCCGGGCGCTTAGCTCGGATTACGCGCCAGCGCTAATTACCACCCCCCGACGACGTGGCGCTTTTTTCTTCGTTCTCCCGTATAACCGATCGCGCGCGGCTCGCGCGACGCGCTTGGGTCGCCTTTTCGCTTTACGAGAGAGCGGACGTTCGCAACACCCTCTACCTACCGCATTCCCGCGCGAGCAGCGCGCACCCCCGCGCTTCTCGGTCCCGTTCGTTTTTTCTCTATCCGTACCCACACACACACACACAGCAAGAGAGGAGTCCGAGAGAGTTTTTCCCACTCTCCTCTCTAGCGCGCTGCTCGCGGTGCAACACAGGCTGCTGTTGCCGCTGCTGGCCCTTGCCAGAGAGAGAAAGCACACGGGTCAGATCCTCTACTCGCGCCAGCGAGTCCTACTAGTGTATATATACACAGCTATTATATACCTGTATACTTTGGCAGAAATAACTTTGCCTTTTTTCCCGTCTCTCTTTGTGCATTACTTTTATCTCTCTCTCTCTCTCTCTCTCTCTCTCTCTCTCTCTCTCTCTCTCTCTCTCTCGCTTTCTGCGCGCCCTTCGCCAGGCTGCTGCTTTATCTATCTGTTTATCAGGGACTTTTTATCTCGACTTCTTTTGTTCCATCGGCTGAATTTTTATTTCTCTCCTCTTTACCTTTCGCTGTCTTCTTCTTCTCCTTCTTCGCCTTTTATCTGCGCTGCTTGCACGGGCCTCGCACTACTACCCCGCCTCGCCTCTCGCACGCGCATTTTCCTCGTGTGCAATAACTTGGAAATGACCAAGTTATTGCTTGCGGATCGCATACACTTATGTGCGGAGCTTGCCTGACCCGGTACACGCGTCGTTGCCATGGCCGCCCAAGAGAACCAGGACAAATCTAGCTGGTTTTTCGGCTGCTACTTCGTCGTCCGCGGTGGTTGCGTTCTGTTAGACATCGCGAGCGGATGATTTTTTGGCGCTCGAACGATAACGGTCTGGTTGAGCATTGACGCACTCGCCACTTTCAACGTTCGCAAGTGGTATTTGTATATACGTGAAAATTTAGATGCCACTTGTCGATTTTTGTGGAAAATTTTTATCGGAGAACAAAGAAAAAAAAACGATATTCTCTTACTTTTCGTAAAACTGCCAATCATAAAATTCGACAGTTGAAAAATAATGTTTCGCAAGATATACCGGCGGCACCGTAAAGCGGCTCGTAAAAATATGTTTTGTTCTTAAAGTAATAATTTCCGACGGTGGAAATTTGAAAAGTGAAATTGACAAAAATGAATCGTACCTCGAATATAGAATTAATGTATGCGCCGAAAGCGAATGAAAAACGTGAGGACGAGAAGAGGCGCAGCTCAGCTGTATTACCAAGCGCGAAAACGACGGCACAACGTCATTTCCGAATGCATATAATTTTCGGAAGCTGCTGATCTGTACTTTGGAAGCTTATCGATCCCGCAGGAGTATTCTCTCTTTCTCTCTCTCTCGCTCTCTTTGTGAGATATAGCAAGTCTCCCTACATACAGATCCGCGGGAGTGGAGTTGCGCGATTATCGTGTGCTCGGCTAGCTAGCGCGGTGTTTACGCGCGGCTCTTGCTCGAGAGAGAGAGAGAGAGAGCGTGTGTACGAGAGAGCTGTCCTCCTCCCGCCCCTCTCTTCTCCTCACTCCCTCGCATTAAACATCCTCCTCGCGGGCGAGCAGACCGATAGATTCGCGGCCATTCTCACAGAATCCTAGTAGAGGAGATTTGCCCATCGCCGGCAAGCGGCAGCTCGTCTTCTTATCGTTCGCCAATGCTACTTCCTCCTTTTTGACCCCCCCCCCCCCCCCCTCTCCGTTTTGCTCAGCACTTGCCGACAAGGATTAGGATGCGTATACCCGTGTGCTTTATGCGCGTTTTGATTAGAATGCCGATTGGCTGTTTGCCTCGGCGAGAGCGCCCGACAAGTGTCGCTTATCCTGGATTCGGGCTGGCTGTCTCCGCCCCGAAAATACTTCCCGCGCCCGAACTTCTCGAAGCCGGTCAGCGTGCACGCGCCCCCTTTCATTCCGAACTTTCCATCGTAAATTTTTCAGCTCGAAGGGACTCGGCATTCTCGTTCTCGCGCGTGAAAACTTCCGTGCTCGAAAGTGATATTGCACTATTTCAAATTGCCATTTTCTCGTACAGGGTCAACTATGTGTGCGTGTGTGTATGAGTGCACGGCTGCGCGACGTGCGAAACAATAACAAGGATGCGCACGGCGACTTATCGAAAAACTTTGTGCTGCATAATTTCACGGCCTGCGTCATGCTGTGCATAACAGTTGCATTCGATAACCGAAGTTTGCGAACTGCGTCTGATCGTACGCTCATTTATCTACTTACGCGAACGCCTTCTCTGTCCTAAACTCGCGTTCGATAATGATTTTCACTTAGCGCTTACTTCAATTAATGCTCATTCAATAGCGCAATCATGCGTAGCTAAAAGCGAGTGACATAATTGCAAGCCGCTTCGATCGAGTTGTACGAATGTAAGAGACTGTACTAATATCCGAAATAATAATATAGCTGGCGAAGACGTAACGTGCTCGGCAAACAAAGTCACAGAGTGAAAATTGAGTTAGAAAAAACAAAAAAAACATTACTCGTAGTTCCGATGATGAGTGCACGGTTGCAGTTACGTAATTCAAAGGTTGCCGAGGCTCATCATGCTGGGCATACAGCGCGGTTAAGCGATCATCTCTCTGTTCATCGAACATACGCGTTACTTAGTCGTATTGATCGTAAAGCCCGTGATGGTCTGATTAAGTGGATGTTGCACTGTTAACTTGGCTGCAGCGTAGCCCTCGAGACACAGGGAAAATCCTCCTTCTCCGCGCTCTCTCTCTCTCTCTCTCTCTCTCTCTCTTTCTCCGCCGAGCGGAGCCAGCTCTTCGATAGGTTCAAAGTACAGATACGCGAGCCGCGGGCTTTTCTCAGCGGACGCGCGCCAGTCAGCGAGCTAGCGCTCGGCGCTGTGAGAGACCGGATGTAAGATAATCTATAATCTAAACCACGATCTAGGCAAAAAACAGCCAGAAGAGTTCGGTAGCCCCCCCCCTTCCGAGAGAACGTCACCCCCTGTCGTCGACCGCGCGACATGTAAAAACTGTCGCGAGAACGGCGACCCAACACGACAATCATCCGATATCGGCTTGCTATCTTCCTCCTTTTCCTTGTCTTTCTTCTGTCATCGCTTCGGGATTTTTCGTCGAAGCTGTTGGCAGTTTATTTGCCATGGCTTTGGCCGACTTTGATTGCCCCATTGTTGCAGATGAGGCAAAGAATCGAACGGTTGGACATAGCTAACGGTTACCTACTCTACTAAATTTATTTTACGAATTATCCATTTCGTTGATTCATGTATCAGTCTTATCAACAGGAATGGAAATAATATACTTCTAAATGACTATAAAACATCGAATGTAAAATTTCTACAGAATATTTGTCAAATAATTAAATCTCAATTAAACATTAATTAAACTTTGAAACAGACTATACGACCACTAATTCATATCCTACTTGAATTTTTGAATCTCCAATTACTATTTTATTTTCATTTTTATTTTTTTTTATTTTATTTTATAATATTTTGATGGTTAAATGGTATTAACTACCAACCTATAGATTTATTCTCTTGTTTCTTGCAGAAATTGTATACCAATATTTACATAAATACTCTAATACTATTAACAATTTTTAAAAATTAGATAAGCAAAGCTTAATACTAGTTATATAAATACAATATTAAAAATAAAATAAAATTTCATTTAGAAACTGTCATTCGTTTCTTACTAATCATTTTTTATTTAGTTTCCGTTCTACAAATTTTTTATTACTGAATCAAACTTGTAGTTCTATCTTCTTAATTTGATGAAAGAGCAAAATGGTACTGAAGTAAGTTAGTCGACGTCAAATTTTCGGTAAGTAATTTTCTAAAAAATAATTTGAGCAATTTTAAAATAAAAAATGTAAGATATTTATTTCAATTTTTTTAATTTTTTATTTTACGGCATTCTAGTGGCTAAATAGTATAATTTAGCTATTAGAATATTGATATATAATAGATAAATATATTGATATATAGAACATTGATAAATAAAGAACTAGTGTACAGAAGAAGAATTTCCTCTCATTTGTAGGAATTGTATAGAAATATGTATATGAAAATTTTAATACTATAAACGTAATCTAAAAAAGAAAGAAACTTAGTTTTTTATTACCATATAAAACTTTTAGTTCTTTAGGTATCTATTGAATATTTTAGTATCAATAACGCAACAACTTTTTATACATCGTTTTGTTAATTTTTCGGAATTGGAATACTTTTAACTCTTGTTTTGCCATTTCAGTTATTATATTTTGTACTTAATTTATCAAAATCATAATATAAGGATTCTAATACATAATTTTGATCCAGTTATAGTGGATAATTTTTATTTATAAATTTTTCTTTACTAATTATTTTCAAAGGTTTATTTTGTATGTTTTGAAGTGGGTATAAAATATCTCTGCATCTCT